AAAGTAGTACAAATATTCACATCCAATGAAAATGAGTAAATAGCCAAGATTTAAAGAATTATATTAGTATATGATAAGAACATGCAAATAGTTAAAACATTACGTCTGTCTCTTTATAACCATCATCTTTCAGGTAGTTGAAAAGCACAAGAATGAAACAACGAATGACCATTATGAAGTTGTATCTAAAGATGGGAAGAAGAAAAGAAAAACAAACAAGACGGATGATACTCCTCCTGCATGGTTTATTGATTACGCCAAAGAACAGAAAATTCAGTTTGATCACTTAGCAAAATTGCAGAAAGAAGCTATTGAAGTTGCGAAACAGCGCAACGATATTTTAAAAGATTTTTCTGAATTGTTGGCAAAAAAATAATGTTTGCTAATTAAATGTTACTTTAAATATTAAACTTTAAATTAAATTATTTGTAATCTCACATTTTAATACAAATTAATTTCTTATATTTAAATACAAATTGTTAATTGTTATTAATACATGGTGTGTTGTCTTATTCATGCATGGGTATAAATATGTACCTTGCCAAAGGATTGTCGTAACAATGAATATTTTTTTTAATAATACGTAAAAATTACATTTACTATTGTAAAAATTTTATAATTATACCCAGTCGATTTAATTGAATCACATTCTCTAATATAATTATTACTCGAATTATTTGATTCAATTCTATTTCTTTATAACGTTATAACTAAGCCCCTCCACTACGATTTACAATTTCCCATAACAACAAATTCGCAATTTCCAGTCGCTTTGCCCTTGCTGCTTCCTGATTGTTATTTTCCAAGTAGTAATCGTTGTTGTCGCCATCATTATTATCATATACAAGTCCATCTAAATCCTCATCAATATCTTCATAAATTAATCCAATGTTATGCAATACACATGCAGCTACAATGACAGTGGGAATTTCTGTCAGCAAATACATGTCGAGGTATTTTAAACGAACGCCCTTTCGATGTCAACACGTGTGGACGAATGGTATTTATTAAACTGTTTTTCTACTGCATTTAAATGTCCGTTATCTCTATATGGCGTGAGAACATACGTTGATAATGCATACGCAGAATCACCAAGTAGATGTAAGTTAGGTGGTAGTTCGTTATGCAGCACGTTGCGCACTGGACTATTCTTAAAAACTCTGGCATCATTAACTGAGCCTGGCCACCCAGTGTAAACATCCGTGAATCTCAGATTGCTGTCGCATACGGCCTGCAGTTGGATACTGGGGAACCCTTTTCGATTTATGTATGAATTTCTGTGGTGTGATGGGCCAGGTATGTATATGTGGGTTCCATCAACAGCACCAATTACGCCTGGAAATCCTGTCTTCTGACGAAAACTTTCACATATCTGTTGCACTTCAATGCCCTTTGGCCAACAAATATAATCACTTTGCTTTGCAACAAGGGCTTGACAAACGGTCATTACTACATAATGTAAAGAACTTTTGCCGATTCCGAATCTATCGGCTACACCTCTATAACTTTCTTGATTTCCAAGAACCCAAAGAGTTGATAACATTTTCTTCTCAATACTGAGAGATCGCTCCGGTATAGATGGTGCTAGTAATATGCACAACTCCTATATATAAAATAAAAAGTTGGCAATTAATTTTATTGTATTTCCTTTTGGTAAATAATACGATTGTAATAAATATTTATTCAAATAAAGTTTTGAAACAAGATTAATATCTGCATATAGTAATTTAGAATACACAAAATATATACAAGGTGATGGAAATCAACACTTACCACGCAGAATGAACGCCACAGCTGTCGAAAAAATATTTTGTTTTTGTTTTTTGAGACGTACTGTCCGTTAACTACAAAGCGCTTACGGTGACGACACAACGCGACTTTGACTGTTGCGTAAACCAATTGGAAAGTCTCCAGCGGTAATTAGTGTACGTTGCGCCTTGGTCAAAACACGTACACGTGATTCCATTAGAAGAACGCATACGATTGTGGAAAAAACAATGTTTATCAACACAAATGTCGCACATGCGCGGCGCGACGACCACCGCTCTTTAATATACGAGTATTATTCATTGCCTATATTATATTACTGGGATTCACGTGGCCATGTAGCCACCTGTGGTAACAGTTGGAGAAGTATTTCAGATGTAGCTATAGAGGGCACTGTTCAAATCGTGCGAAAAGACTTATCTTTCTTAGTAGGGCCGGGCCAGTTGTGCAGTGTATTATACTGAAGTAATTTGTTCAACGGTTACAAGAAAACTAGTTAATTTGAGTAATTATAGATTATGTGGTTAATTATCAAGCTTGGACAAATATTCCAGTGTATTTCTTCCCCCCTTTCAAATACATTGTATATGAATGTTTTAAAAGACTTGTGCTGTAATGTCAAATACCCTATTATTTTAGAGAAATTTATCCATTTTGTCAACTGATATTTTTTTTCGCAAGTTTTTATGTTTTTTATGTTGTTTTCACTATCATAAGTATTGCACTTTGAAGATATATAGACAGAGTACATAGTGTATCAAATCGTTAAGTGGTTGCAAATTATATGAAGCCATAATGTTATTTATATGACCATAGAGATATTATAGTAATTATAAATTTATATTTGTTAAAACATGTCGCGTGACTTGAGGCAGAATCAGAGTTGTGTTTGTACAGTTCTATTGAATTCGTCATTAAAACTGCTAAATCAAAGAGGCCTACCTGTCAATTCCGATTACACCCTATAACATGCATAATGGTTGCCATATAAGATAAGTTTAATTTTATAATTAAGTTATAAGTCTAGATTCTCAACATATGTAAACAAAGGCATTCACTTCTAATTTCTGATGTCTCCGTTACAATAATTTATACATAATAACAACCAAACACTTAAAGGACGGCAGTCGTCGTGCCGCGTTCTGTTCGATATGGGACTCGTAGCGACGTATACAACGCGTGTAAAATACATTGTTTATTTACATGAAATTCGAACACGCACTGCGCGACGACCACCGCGCGAAGAACGAAGAAAAAATGACCTTGATAGGAATCGTCTGATTTTTATCTGTTCTAGACAGACTACGATTTTTTTAAACGTTCGAAAGTTGCTTTCAGTGACATATAGATATTCGAGTCTTGTACAGAAAAAAATGTTTCATTAATAAGGTCCCATACTGTCACGCGTCAGTTGATATTTCTCATCGTCATGCATATTATATTGTTTATTGTTTGTTGAAGTGTATGTGTGTAGAAGGCAAGGTTTGGAGTCCTTTTTGTGTCCGATTCAGATGATGGGTTAACATCACCATTGTAAGGTAATTTATAACGAGAATTTATAGTACTAGTATATACTTAAACTTTAAATTGTCTGATTGTATATGATATCATAGAAAAAGATTTATTTTAAGTATTTCTATTTTTTCGTCTCAGTGACATGCGCATATCGTGTAGTGCAGTATTTTTGACGTAGCTGTTACCAAATCGTGTCGTGCATTTGGGGGGGGGGGGGTATAAGTACAGAAACAAATAAAATACCACAATATGCACATTATACGAAATGAGAAATTATATGAAATGGACACTTTAATAATCCATCTTGTGCAAGCACATTCTTTCTGTTTTTTTTTTAAATATTCGCTGTGCCAAGCGACAGTTCCGTGCATTAAATGTCACTATTGTCTTTCCTGACTTGTGTATGTGTAGTTAGGAGTTGGCATATAGTATATTTTTGTTACAGAGACAGTATTCCAGTTTACATACACGACATAGCTATGTGGAAATCTTTCTATCATAATGGCATTATGACAATTGAATGTGCCATCCTGGCGTCAACCAGACCCAGTCGAACACAAGCACCTGTGGGTCACAATCAAGGTTCCCCAAAGTCGCATTTGAACAAATAACAAAGCAATGCATCAATATGACAACATCGTCTGTTTGGGGGTAGCTCTCTAAACATACAGTTGTATACACAGATGGGTATCATTATAACATTTATATGACTACATTATTGGGCAAGTCTAAACATAGATATTGCGTCTTTGTTTCAAACGTACCATTTAAACACACTTGTCTGGGTAATGTGGACATGTATTTCGTTCAATGCAATATGAAAGACGTATTATTACTATATATTGATCACGTTTTCGTCGCTCTTCCCATTGCTATTGTGTCGTATCCAACGGCACAACTGTTATTGAAAGACGTGAACGTTTTCTCCCTTTTGTAATTATTTGTAAATTGAAGGCGATGAGAATTTTCATTAGTCTGTCACCTTTTGAAGAATCTATAATGACACATATTCCCTTTGCCATTTGAGCTCTGCTTTCATACGTGTAACAGGCATCCTTGGATCTGCGTTTGTCACCATGTATGCATCTTTATATATAAAAAGGATAAGTCACGTGCTAGTATGGATGTTATAACCTTCTATCAAGGCCAAATATAAACATACACGTACTTGGTTTGGCTTGGAATGATGACATACTTATCTCTATATTCAATTAACCTGAAAACGAGAATTACTTAGATGAAACTACATACTAATGCTTTTTATGCGTTATTGTCTCGACCGTTAAGCTTATGTAATACAGCTTGGTCAAGCAGATAATATCAGTTTGCTTTGAATAACAGGTAAAACAGAGATCAAATGGTTTCTGTCGGATAAGAAGAAAGGTCCACATGGAGATCAAACACTGCACGACGCGACAGACAAAGCGCGAATAACGTCGGGACTGAAGAGCCTCTCTAAACGCTATATCCGAAGTGTTTTAAGTCTTCTGCTTTCCTGTACACTAAAGGAGTAAAGACAATGACGGCAATATGGAATACGCTGGTAACAACGCGAAGTAATCACATGTAAAGAAGTTATCGTTGTGCACATGGACCCCTACAGTTTTATATGGATACAACGCGTGAAAATTAATAAGACAGATTATTTAATATCAGAATAATAAGGTGGATATCAATTAACAATAAATTAGTTAAATATATAAATTATAATATCACAAGTGTATATTTGACGCAGCCTTGTTTTTGAAACGTCTATTGAAACGCCTGTGAATTTATTTTTTCAATTAAATTGGTTTTTCATTGGACAAAAATATCTTCTTTCTTTTTTACATGTTTGACTTTGCCATGAAACTTACCATCTAATAAAAATCTAATAAAATGATGTTTAAAAAAAGGAACTTTACGTAATTAGTTATGATAAATAAATGTAGATGAAATTATATCAGAAAATAGCACTTTCGTTTTTACGGGCGTTATCCATAGTATACCAACACCTTTCCTCATTGTCTGAATTGTGATTCTTAGATTTGTATTGACTTAAATAACCTTATTTTTGCTTCTTAATGTTGTGAACAGTCAACCAGGAAGTGAAATTTACCCTCAACGTTATCAGTATTGCACTTTTTACAGAACCTTTCATCAACATTTATTTTGTATGTCGCCGTTTCGGTATCACACGAATAAGACTTATTACACAATTAAATACATGACTTATCCAGATGCCCCGGGCCTGCTTTAATGTAAGTACCTAGTTCAATTCGAGTAAACAAACCAATCACGTTCACAAACCAGTATCTGTTATGTCATACCTACCATTATATTTTTCCTGTTCATTATGTTTTGCATGTTGTGGAAATATATTACAATGTTATTCTCCTAACTGGTTTAAGGTTCGGTGAGAAAGTGAACAATGATCTGCATATATTACTGATTGATCTTTGACCGCCCACGTGTTCGTCTGTTTGTATGTAAGTGTTCATATTACGTCACATATACCTCTTATTGCAAATCTGTGATAAGATGGTTCTTCATATTATCAGTAAATCACCCGTTCCTTTTCAAACAGTAAATAAAAACGCAATTTTTATGACTATCTTGTATTATCTTGTATCATTATCTTGTATTTTCGATTCACAATGAACATTTAGTTAACAATTTGCAAAAACAAATATTATTGACTACTTAAAAATCTATTCTTCACTGTAAGTGCCCTCATATGTCCCATGTATGTTTCATGGCTGTTCTCTTTCCGATGTGATGACTTTTGATATAAATTTACGGTCAAACGAAGTCTGAAAATTCGGTGGTGCTTGTTGAGAGAATGGATCATAATACCAATCAATATATATATATATATATATATATATATATATATATATATATATATATATATATATATATATATATACCAATCAATGTAATATATATATATATATGTCCATTGTAGCATTCAATAAACAAGTGATTTTAACTGTGAGATTTCGCGTAATGCGTTCAGAGCCGCAACAATTCGATTTGAATTTGTCCTTATAGGTCAATGTCGAAACGCCGATCTTTCAGAGTGAAATATAGTGTTGAGAAATTCTTACTCCATCAAAATTGACCACAAATGTGTATAGCATATTATTATGCCTGAAAATTATTTTTGTGTTTGTTGAATCCCAAGACGTGACGTCACTGTAGCGTTTGTTTGTCCTGCTTTTAAGTTCGATTTCACGCGTAACTCGCACTTAACTCACCACGCTCGCATTCACAGTTATTGGGAATATGATGATAATGTATCTTTAAAAAGTTTGTATATTTCATTAGCGTACCAAATTC